AAAAGATGGGCACAAAGTCAGAGTTTCTGTGTCATGAAAGTGCCTATCTTTTTACCTGCCTATCTTTTTACCATGGCAACTTACAACAAGCGCATTTCCTAATCAAGAGCAGGTCCTGTTCAGCGTTTCAGTGATACCCATTGAGCCAGCTAATGCAAAGAAAGCCTGAGGGTGGTGAACTTCCTTCCTTGACGCCTCAGGTCTGAAAAGCAAAGCCAGAGTAGAAGTTTTTCAAATCTGCATTCTCTCTAACGGACAGCAGGAGTTTACTTGTAAATGAGAGTCAGCATTATAGTAATAGAGGACAAGAGGATAAAGCCAAGTATGGTTTAGGACAGGCTTACCTTGTCATCTGCACCTTGCACACCACAAATTTCAAAGCAACAAGGCAGGGGCCATGTAAATGCACAGCTTGAGGTTTCATAATGGGACTTTTCTAATGAATGCCCATCTACAGCCATCTTTTATAAACAGTATGGTAACAGTGTGGTGTAGCATCTAGGAATCAGTGAGGCTGAGTGTAGTTAGAAGTTTCCAGTAAGCTAGCTGACATGTTCTGAGGTAATTCTCAAAAGCTACAATTTCAGCACTGCTGAATATTGTTGGTGGTGAAGTTAGCCTCTTCACACAAAGTTTAGACTAATATAAACAAAACAGCACAGGAAGCTTTAGACACAGACAAATAATTTAAAAAGATTAATAAACAATCTTGAGAATGTGCAACAACACTGAGTCTTCAGAGTTATCCAGGGTATAAGTTAGAAGCAGGTCCAGATCCTGAACACTTAGTTGTTCCCTGTGTATCCATCGGAGTGTGAATATGTGTGCATGAATCTTATTTTAAAAAGTGCTTAGGTATAGATACGAGCCCTGTTTGATTGTGTGTGATTGGGTGAATGAAACTTGTAGGAGAAAGTGCTCTGAAAGCTCAAACTGAGTAAAAAGGGGATATACGAGCCAGACTACACAACATTCTCTACAAGCAAAAACTACAGATTTCTTTAATCCTTTGAAAGCTTGCCACTCCTTCTGTGACTCTTTCTTTAGTTTTTTTCCCCAGTGTAGGTATTTTTAACAAGTTGTCTTAAAGTTTCTAATAAGAAAGCATCACCACTTTAAGGAGCACCTCCACCCGCAAGATATAAAACCTCCATCTGTTTTCACCGAGCAGTCCCTTCTGTCATCCTAAACTCTGAGGCCATTTCAAACTCCAGCTAGAGGAGGGTTGCAGCTGTGGATCATCCTTTTTTAATAAAGTAACAGCTTTAATCTTGTTACGGCATGATGTCAGGTGCTACTGATTTTACCCATAAGGCCTTGTTGCTTCCATGCTGTGTCACGGTCAACACTCACAGCAATGTGACCCAGTTTCATGTTTCAGTGGCGACCAAAATGCTCCTCTGAGTAGAATGAAAGACGTCAGAAAGCGAGCAGCTAACTCTTCTTAACATGACTTATTGATTAGAGCAGGGATTAATCATTGATAGGCCTCGACTTGATTAGTATCCATGGTTACTCAATCTGGGCGTGACTAACTCCAGTGTTTCATAACGTGGTTTCATGTGGGACCACGCACACTCAGACTTACAGAGTCACATATTTATGTTCAAACATAAATAAACACAATTTTTCACAATCATTTCAGAAATTATGAAAACTTGTTAAAAAATATAATTTTGCTATTCTTATGTTTATAACAGGGTTTTGTTTTTTTAAATATCCATGGTCAACTTTGTTTTCATTTCATAACCTTTCATGGCAGTGGCCTCATTTGAAAGACCTTCTTGGTTTGGACACGGACACAGCTGCTTCTATTTAGTTTGACAAGGGTGCTCTTCACTAACCCATCTTAATTTAATTCAGTTTTATTTATATAGCACGAAAATCACAACAACAGTCACCTCAAGGTGCTTTATATTGTAAAGACCCTACAATAATACAGAGGAAACCCCAATAATCCAATGACCCCTATTAGCAAGCACTTGGCGACAGTGGGGCCTGTATTTGTATTGAGCTTTTACTTAGTCGCTAAGGACCCCAAAGCGCTTTACACTACATTCAGTCATACACCCATTCACACACTGGTGATGGTAAGCCACAGCTGCCCTGGGGCGAACTGACAGAGGCGAGGCTGCCGGACTCTGACCACCACCAGTAGGCAACAGGTGAAGTGTCTTGCCCAAGGACACAACGACCGAGACTGTTGGAGCCGGGGCTCCAACCAGCAACCTTCCGATTACAAGATGAACTGCCAACTCTTGAGCCACGATCGCCCCGGAAAGCTGTGTTGAGCAGGTCTGAGTCGATCCAAGTAGGTACTAATGGAAAAGGGGCCCATAAACCAAAATAAACTGTATATTTCATTTTTAAGAAATAGATTACAATACAATTACATGCTAAATAAAATACAATCAATACTGAAATATAATATATATAATATCTAATGTAATTAATATTGAATTATTTTTATTTTATTTGTCAAAAGGATAAATAAACAATCCATTTTCAAAAAATAGAATTCTGTGGCAATTATTTCATGGTTCAGGCTAAAGGGTTATTGGGTAGCTTAAGCTCCCAGAAAGAGAGTTACTGGTTTGAACCCAAACTGGGGTCTTTCACATAGAGTATTGGTCAGTCCAGTGAGCACTGTCAAACAAATTCTTTTGTTTCTGGCAAAGAGAAACGACCAACTGTTGTCAATCTTCATCAGTAATGAGAAGTTAATAGGTTTATGTCTTGTCAAATCACACTGTAAAACAGGGGTAGCTGTTCAGCACCATTATTTAAAAAGTGTACATTTACTTCCGATCACAATGAAATGATAGCAAATTTGCATTAGCATTAGCATTTTACTTATTGACGGTTTCATTGTTTACTAAGCAGCCTGTAGTCACACTCCCTGACCACTCCCCCCGGCATGCACGCCAATCATATTCTTTTGTTTATAACCAACTCTGGATTTTCATACATATCAAAGCAGAAATCTGTTAACAGTAGACTGAGGTGTATTTGTGGAGAAAGACCAGTAACCACAGTATGTGTTTCTGTAAACAAAAGACAAGCAGCCTTCTTAAATATCGATCATTTTATTCCAATTTGAGAAATTTAAGTTGATATTCTGAAGTAAAGGTTTTAATATCAACAGGACCTTTGCATTTAATAACAACACTTTACATGCCCTCATCCAGTGACAATGAAAAGCTTCATTGAACTTTTTTTTGTTGTTTATTTTATTTCCCTTGTAAGAAAGAGTTCAAGTATAAAAATTCCCAACAGTGTAAAATTGCCCATCTGATGAATATGAAGCAAAAAAAGAGCACAGCTACTGAAACCTCGACAACAGCTATACATTCTAGTAGAGAAAAGCAGCTTTTTTTTTGCTTCTTTTTACCAAAAAGAAAAAAAAAGATTAGTTTTTCCTCTTCTCTAAACATAGAAGAGGCAGAGTACTGTCTGCATGCAAGGAGACCTGCATTTAAATAAAGTTCTTCCATACAAAAAGGCATGAAGCTGATATTTAATGTCATGTTCCGAAGAATCAAAAAAGATAAAAAATAGAAGTACAGTGCACATTTTTAAATAACTCCTATATCAACATTTTGGTTGATTATGTTATTATTAATAATAATAATGATAATAATGATAATAAAACTAATCAATAACTTATATATGCCTTGAGATGAGTACATCATATTATTAATACAGTACCGCCACTAAGTCTCTACTCTCAGAGTGTCAACATAGTCAACCCTCAAAAATAAATATCTTAAATAGTAGATTTATCTCTTTTTTTTTTTTTTTTTAGTTTTTTTCTCTCTTAAATAGCAGTAAAAATGTAAGGCACATTTAAGAGAGACCAACACGACGTCAAAGAGGAAACCCACATCCTCCCACCCCACCTGGTGTTCTTGACAGACATGAGGCAGGCCAGTTGTCGGGGTGGCTTTGGTGAAAGTGTTTGTGAGTGCGTACCTGACTACAGCAGCACAGAGGTGGAAATGCTGATGGGGGCAGTGCTGAATGACCGGGGTGGAGGATGAGTCGAGTGGGGTGGGGGTGGGGGTTAAAGTTGGTTCCCAAAGGGCTCGGCCGGGGATTAAAATGTGACAACTCAACAAACGAGCACAAGTGAAGCGTTCTTTCCAGAGTGATCCGTCTGTGTGGCGCTGGAGCTGGCTCTGTCCAACCCCCCCCCCACCACCAGCAGCTGCTGCTGCTCTCCCTCTTTCTGCTTCTCTCAAAAGCAGAGCCAGAGAGAAGCACGACTGCGCTTGCCTTTGTCTTTGACTGCTATGTGTGCAGCTCTGGATGTATGTGTCAGTTTACATATGAGCGAAACGTGGAAAAGCAACAGATTTAGTGTTTCTCATTGTCCGAAGCCATTTTTCAGTCTCTCTCCTTTTGTCAGTGCCTTTGTTTTATTTGCCAAGTCCCCCCTTTTTTTCAGTCCAAGAATCAAGTCAGAGTTGATGACATTTTCAGTTTCTTTTCTTTGTTTCTTTGTCTCATGGTGATTTGTTTGCTTTGCATAGGTCAAGAGGTTGAGAGACACAGAGTTTAAAAAAAAAAGGGACATTCAGCATCAGGAAGATAATAAGGTAGTTCTTCAAATGTTTGTGACACGGCGAGTCACACAAAATAATAGCTAACACAGTGGAAACCGTTCCATTTCCCTGATTATCAGAAAATATCAACTTCCAAAAATGCACTTGAAAAGACAAAAAGAACAAGCAGAGCCCTCAGTGTTTAATAATAGCAAATAATAAATATAAATGTTATGAGGGCATTAAATAACCTAACAAGAGGAAAAAAAGGAGTATTTTCCTAAAAACTAACGTTAAAGACAGCAATAGGACCTATACCAACCACAGGGATTAGTTCCTGGATCTCTAAAAATAAGTACTGTACTACAATGATAATAGTAATGATAATAATAATCATGGTAATAACAACAACAACAACAATAATGATAATAATAATAGAAAACCATTTTCATTATTTGTCCTGCGGCTTTTTTTCATTTTCTCTTTTTTCATTTTTTTGGTTGAAGCACAGCAAGTTGAAAAGTTACTGTAAAAAGTTCCCACCTCACCATCATCACCATCACCATCATCATCATCATCATCATCACCTTTTTAAAGCAACTCTGCTTTTGAGCTGTTGACACGCCACACCCTTAACGCCACTCCCTCTTTTTTTCTTTTTTTTTAACAGATCAGCTGTAGCTGGGGTGGGCCTCCTTCTTGTTCTGCATGTCCAGCACTTGCAAGACCTGCTATTGCATGCGGTCAGCTTGCAATTGCTGAGGCTGGTACTGGCCAAAGGCTGCAGCTGCAGCAGCGGCTGAGCCCGGGGCAGCGGTGGCCAAAGGTTGCTGGACAGCATAGCCGTATCCGGCAGTGGCCACGTAGCCTGTGGCCGCTGGGGAGGCGGTGTAAGGGTATTGCTCGTAAGCGGCGGCGGCAGCGGCAGCAGCGTTGGCTGCTGCAGCAGAATACTGTGCATAGGCGGCTCCGGTGTAGTCGATGTAGGGGGATGAGGCAGTGGGAGGCGCAGCGGCTGCAGGCTGCACATGAGGGATGACCACACTAGGCTGAACGAAGGCCTGAGGATACACATAGTGGGCCGGGATGCTGTGGGAGAAACACACAGATGTGACAGTTGTTTGATTCAGTGCCAAACATTAAAAAGACAGTAAGACCCAACCCCCCAAAAACCCAACTCCACCACACTAAGGCCAAGCGCCCTCCCACCACCCAGACCCAGTCCAGTTCACCAGTCAAGAAGAGCAAGAAAATGCCTGCTAGTAAGGATTAGAACAATATAGGGTTGCCAAAATAGAAAAAGTTTGACTAGAAAAGAAGACTAGAACATGAGAAAATCTTTCAACACCCAGACTTTTTTTTTCTTTGTTTCCCTTCTTAATTAAAAAAAACCAACTTTCGTATGATTACATCTGGATGAAGTACTGACATCATCTTCTCTATGAGGCAGAGCATGAGGGGTATGTTTGAGTTTGCGTTGTGGAGACAAAAGAGAAAGAAGAGGGTTGAGATTTGTAGCCTTGCAGCTCATCTGATGGTCAATTTGTACATTAACTCTGGTGCTGTCCCCTGCCTGCTGGAGGGAGAGCAGGGGCAGCGGGGTTCGGGTGGCTTACAGTGGCAGGGGGTGGGGTGTGTGTGTGTGAACAGAGTAGATGAGCCCAGGGAAGCTTTGTGAAAATGTCACTGCCACTTTGACAGCTGGACAGTTTTAAAAAGGGACGCTGCTGGCCATTTCCCCCTCTCTGTCGGGACAATGAGCCACGGAGGCTGTGGGGGGAGCTGGGACTAGGCTCTGCACTGAGAGGGATGTTTCGATTAAATAAACAATTCTGAACAATGAGCACATTCTGCCCTCCATGACATAGCCTTATCCCAGCCCCTAGTCTCTATAAGGTCTGGAAACTCAGCTGCACAGCAAGCAGGAAGGGAGTTTTTATAATCTACACCATTCTGAATGAGAGAAGTGAAAAATCAACTTTTTTAGTAAGAAGCAAAAATAAGAAATGTTGCTTTTTTGATATCCCCTCTCCTCGAATTGAACTCAAACGAAGTGAGAAAACAGAATTCCAGTAACAGCCGCACATCTAACTTTAAATAACGATTGCTGTTAAATCTGTTGAGGAAAAATCTGCACAATCAGTGGATATCAGGTGGTCACTTTATCGTCTGGATTGAGAGAGAAAACGATCAGAAAGTTTAAAAAAAAAAGTGGGATCTATCGTGGCAACCCTATTGTGAGCACTCCATTATCCAAATCCAATCCACATCCCAACCGAAAACAGTGGACCAGGAAAAACAGGAGAGAACATAAAGAGCAAAGTGTCAGAGAGGAGGATATATAGGAAAAAAACATTTCACAAAAGCAACAACCATGACGAGGGCACAGCACAATCACTCAACTGAAAAAAGACGTGAAAAGCAAAGGGGTGGAAATGTGAAGGGATGGTGTTGCTGTTGCTAAAGATACCCACATAAGAGCATTTTTGAAGGCTGGTAAGAAAATTTCTATCCTGAAAAGATTCTTTGTTTTTTTTTCAGAGTTAAACTAATTAGAAAACCTTCTGAAGCAGCATTTTCAGTATCATGTGATTCGAAAAACTCACTTTGAAAGTGGCACTAAAGAAACTCAGTGGGCTCAGTAAGGCTTTAGATATTTTACTGGCCTAATAAAAAAAAAAAATAGCAGCAGTGGTGCAGAGAGATGTTTACAGGCTGTTATCTCGTGTGAAATCACTGAATTATCAAGAGAGGAAAAACGTCATATGACAGGCGTGGAAGATTCGCCCACTGCTCGACTGCTCAGTTGTGCAAGTATTTGCTGGTCTAACACGCTCAAAAAAACCCCCCAAAAAACAAATCAACTAATTAATTAAGTGTAAGTTTTCCATTTAATTTTGTTACATGAGTATAATTAAGGGATTCTGGTTCAATGAAATTTACTTAATTGGCATTCATTCAGTTTATACCAAGCAAATTATCCTTAATTGTTAATTATTTTAATAAAGAAACCTTTTATATATTTCAGTTGCATTTTACTCAAAGTTACTACTTCATGTTTGTTGAGTTTTTGGGGGGGTGGTTTGAGTGTACCGATCAACAAACACATTGTAACTCTGTTTGCACAGTTGATGCCAGGATTTGAATTAATCAGTTAAAAAGGCAGCAGCTGACCCACAGGTGCTCTGTGTGAAAAGCACAGCAAATAAGCCCCTAACAGGACTTCAGATCTCATGTTAGTACTAGATCTATAATAATATAATTCGATAATCTAAGCACTATGCAAGCATACAGTGCTGTGCTCTGAAAATGCATTGTGCAAGACAGCAAATCTAATAATCTCATAATGTGATATTCACATCTTTGCGCACACTTTCTAATATTTGTCTGACTCCTAGATCTTATTGCAGTTACATTATTAAATCTGTATTACAAGATACTGGTGGTGCTGAGCTGTATAAGTTGGTATAGACTGAATAACACACACAGATATACACATAGCATAAGTTGTGTTTTCGGCCATAGGAAGCAAAGCTCTGCCTCATTAAAATAAACAAACTAAAAACGGTTTTTCTCTGTGCAGATGGTCATAAAATAAGAGCATTTAAGTTATCCCAGTCTATTCCAAGTATATGTAGCTGATTTGTGCAGGTATGCTGGTCTGACTGTTCCTGTGTGTGCGTTTCTTTATTGGAAGGTCCCAGTAGTCAATAAAGTTCAAGGCTAAATAAAGGTTGTCTTCCAGCCTGCATGCTGTCTGCCATGTGGACTTGTTCGTTATCAAAGTGCGAGAGGTTGACGTCACAAACATTTCCTAATTTAAAGAGTTGTTACGACCAAGCTGACTGTGATTCTGATGCACTTAAATATTTGTAACATAGTCATAATCCAAACACAGATGGCTACCTGGATAAAGTTACTGTGCGAAACCTTCACCAGTCACTCTGTGTGGACGTATTAACAGCAACAGCAGCAGCACAGATACATCTTCTGAGCGTGCAGAGGAGAACTTCAGTTTTTGAGCCGCTGGATGTAAAAGGATGTTCAGCTGTGATCGTTTGTCTCTTTAAAAAAAATTGTGAAAATGCAAACTTCAGTGCTGAAGTGACTTCAAGGGACCATCAATCTAAAGAGGTTCTTTGATTCATTTCAAAAGGAAGAGAGGACGCTGTTTGCCACGTTTGTGATTTGTGAATTGTATCTTTCACCGGAGCTTTCATCCTAAGCCTCTCTCACTTTGAGTTTACTTCTAACAAATTTATTCCCTGCTGTGGAGATCGTGGCTGCAGTTACACACTAGTATTTCTCTAAATCAGACTGAAGACTTCGGGTCAGCTGTTTACATGGAAGGTAATTTATTAAGGTCTGGTGTTTATGTGGATATTGGAACTTAATCCGAGCAGTGTGATGTACTCAAAGGTTATGAATGTAAATTTTCCTCAATGGCTGCCTTACATCTCTGGAGCTCCCTGAAGAAGATGGATATCTGTTGCATATAGTTACTGTTATTGTGTTAAAAACAGACTCTCTGCAGAGTCCCTTGCGGATAGAGTAGAAGTGTATGTCTCCACATATTTGTGGGGACAAGGACAGAAACAACACAAAGTGGGGCAAGTGGAGGAAGAATGCAGCCAGAAAGTCATGAGGTTTAATTGTTTACTCGTTGCAGCTTTTCTTCTAATCTGTTTACGAGGTCTTCTGCTCCACAGCAGGTTTCTGCCTCCCCTGAGCTCGCTTTGTGACGCTTGTATTCAATCCAGTTTTATTTATATAGTCACAACAAATCACAACAACAGTGGTCTCCAGGCAGGCACTGAACTAGCTCCTACCGTTACTAACAGCTGAAGTAGTTAACATTCATAACACTGAACAGCACGTTTTAAAGAGGTCACTGAATCTTCATTTTCAACAACACTTAAGTATTAAACAGTTTTTGAGATATGACTTCTTTGCCATTACTTCTGCTGTTGCAGGATGTGGTCAAAATCTTCCCAAGTTTGAAATTTTAATACTATGACAACCCTATTCACACAGTTACATTTCCTCAGCTGGGGGGATATCTTTGCTGGTGCGATCGCCATAGCGATAATAGCTAATCATTACAAGGAAATCTGGCCAAGCATCAGTTAGCGATTAGCATTAGCCACACTAGCTTCTTTGTATATATACACCAGGCTGATTTTTCACAGCAACTTCTTTTATGTAATACTGAACTGCACAGGCAACCAAGTTGTTCTCTCAGTTAACGCTTTGGTGGATCATTTTAATACAGCTGACCCCCAGTATTTGCTGGGGCTAAGGGCCACAACCAGCTGCAAATACCAAATACCAAACACTTGAGACCGCTCTAAAAATGCTTATAACTGCCTATTTAAATAGTTCAAACACCATATATACCATAAACTATCATCCTAAAACATTTGAAGGTCTTGGGATATTTTGTAGCCGCCCCCGTGTCTGCTGATGCCATTTCCCCATGTTGAGAAACACACCTTCTTTTTTAATCATAAAAAATGTATTTTGTCGTGAAAATAAAATCAGTTAGTTCCACAGAAAATCCAGAAAAACCGCAAACAGGTGGGGGTCAACTGTAAAGATGATTTGATTGGCTAGCTCTTAACTTTCTCTGCACCATGTTCAAACTGAAGGTGAAGTGACAGGGTTGGAGCCTGACACATGTTCGTGAATTCTCCCCACCAGCCGCTGTCCCTGGAGTGGGTCATGCTAAATTCCCTTTTGGAATTCACCTCCCAACCTCACCAGGTATGTGAAAAAAAGGAAAAAAGACGACACTGCCGCCAGTTTATGCAAGCCTATCTGCTCACAGGACTATCAGAGGACAGCCACATTGACATCCTTTTTGGATTTTGAAAGCCACTGTGGGGAAAATACCATTTAATTAAGTAAATTTTCTTCACTAAAATCTGGACTTAATTCCATTGTACATGGAAAAAGACTTCTGTCTGTAATTTGCTTTCATAGATTAACAGTGTGCTTACATTTCTTCAGATATGAGTCATGTATGATTCATAACTTGTACAAATTCATATTAACGTCCTAAGACCCAAACTCTTCCATGGCGTGCATTTTTCATTTCTCTTTGATATTTGGGCATATTGGGGCCCGATGAATGTAAAAACAAAGAATTGCCCGATTTTATTTTTTTTATCTTATTTTTGTTTTTAAGAAAAATGAGAGCCACATATGAGGATATTTGTTTAAAAATTTGATAGAACAGCAGCAGTATAATGTCCTCGTAAGTGGACATCAGGCCCTTGTAGAGCAAAATTGAGTATTTTGGTCTAAATAACCCAAAATGTGATGTCCAAATATTTGGACACCAGGTCCAAGGAGGTTAACTCTTTTTGCCTAACCATGCCTTTATTGAAATATGCTGATGTGTAAAAACCTGTCATTAAGTGTACAGAGGCGACGTCAAAAGTCGACTTAACGGGGATAAAGAGTTAAAGGCTATATGTTAGGCCGGCCCCTAACACACTCACATGACCCTGTTTAAATGGGCTCTTCCCTGCTCTTACATGACACACAGCGACAGCTCGTGCACCCTCACTGGACCCCCTAACACAGACACACACACAGCTCAGCTTCATGCGACTGCATTGTCAGCATTCAGGGCTTTGTGTGGCACAATGGGTGCGCTTGTTTTCCTTAACACCACGAGCCCATGTGACGAAAGCTCGCTCTGAGAGAATAAGAGATAGAAAAAGAGACATCCAGACATTTGTTTGTGTCACAGTGGAGACTTTGGTGCTGACTGACTTGAGCTGGGTGCATGTGGATGTGTGCAGATGCACAGTGAGACCCCATAACCCCCGTATGTTCAGGTGTAGTCAGACGCATATAAGCTCACATTTTAACTGGGATGCTTTCGGTTCATTCATAAGACATTCGCATCTCCCAATAGTGCGAAGAAAAGGAGACTGAGAGACCACAAGAGGTCATTTCACAGTAAGTTGGTCTCTGCCGTGTTGTGTTAATGTAAGAAACAGCAGGAAGATGCACTGAGCACACGCAAGCAGTGATAGGCTTTGTTATTTTGAGGGGAAAGTGTGGGGTGGGGGGGCAAGGGTGAAAGAAAGAAACTCCACACAGAAAAGTCACCACTCACTCAAACAAGACAGCCAGAAGGAGGAGAAAGAAACATGTAACAGCACATCCTGTTAAACAAAACAGATCAACCACAAGCTAAAAGCAATGATAATAATAATAATTTAAAAAAAATCTTCTCCTCTGCAAAGTAGACACGCTTCCACAAAAAGGAAAAAGAACACCCCACAAAAACAACAATCAGTCCAGTTTTTCTTTTCTTTTACTTTTTTTTATCACTAAAGTAAAGAAAGCACACGGTTTAGCTAACAACACCACTTCATAACGGCACACAAAGCTAAGTTCTATTTAAATAAAATGAAAAAGAAGTCCAAACGAAACCCACGTACATGCATCTGTAATCACCATTTTGAGAGCTTGTTTGTGTGCGTTTGAGTCTACAGGTAATTCCTTTTCTCTGATCAGAACTATTCCACAAACCAGCACAGTTAGCTTAACCGAGAGCGAGCCTGTCGAACCAGAGAAAGATAGATAACATTGAGTGAGGCTGTAAAGTTTCCATCACTGTCCACTCAGCACACTCACACAAGAATGTATTTACACTCACACGTATTTCTGCAAACAGTCGAACTTAGGAAAAGCAGTTTTGACTGGAGGTTTTTTTTTTGGGTGGACAATCATTGGGGAAGAAAAGGTGTATTTATAGCTTACATTCCAACTCTGATGATTAGTCATCATTTATTCAAGGAAATGAATACATGTCGACTTGTTAGTCCTTACCCATAAGGCCTTTGGATGAATGCTGGGTGAATCTGGGGAACACCGAAGGTAAAACCTGCAAGACAAAATAACTTCAAATACAGACAAAAACTGACTTCTAGCAACAACAACTTGAAATTATATTTAAGATTCAAACCCTGAGGTACAAACAAACATCCTACTGGCTGGTCTTACCTGGCTGCATCACCCGAGGCTTGGCACCCAGGTATGCCAGGTTGACGTTGGCCTTCCTGCCATCGATGATCGGGTTGGGGTCCTTGCAGGCCCGATCTGCGGCTGCACGGTCTGCCATCGTCACCTGAGAGGAGGATAAACGAAGAGCTGAGGATGTTTTTAAAGGCAGTTGAGGGTTCAATAATGATTGGAGCTTGTAAGAAAGAGGGAAACCACATGTTTCAAAGAAGTATAAGTGTGTGTGTGTGTGTGTGTGTGGGTGTGTGTGTGTGCGCACAGAGGCCTCCTTCTGTGTGCGCCTGTGTGGCCATCACTGACAGTGGCAGGTATTTGACAGCACACACACATTTATCACCCTCGTGTGGATGTGATGAAACTTATCAGCAGTGAACGGTAGCCAGGCTGACCACCACAACCAAACCAAAGCCCTCAGTTCTCCTTTTACAGCCTTTAATTCTAATCAGAGGGATTCGTGTGAGCTTGACCATAAACATTATTTGGGAGACAATAAAGTAAAGGTAAATAAAAAAAGAAAGATGATTTAGAAAGAGCAGTAAAGAGAGGATCTAAGCAAACGTGAAGTTAAACGTTGATCCCAGCACACAAACGTAAATATTTGATTAAATCAAGGGTAGATAAGAATAAAATTAGGTTACTTAAATAAAGGCTCAGGCTTGGCTTCCATAATTCTCTTTTTGGATAATTCTCTTACATGTATATGAAGGTCAGCTTAGTCAAACTATATGTATATATACAAATAAAGAGATTTATTATTGAATAACCGTGAGTAGATGGTTGCTCGTCTCCAACCCCCCCCCCTAAACAAACCAAAAACATTAAACACTTTGGTTCTCAGGTTTGATGACAAGTCTCAGCAAGACGGTGTAAACTACCCTAAGAGGAAGAAACTGTGACCGTTTCGAAAAACCTGCTCTACAATATCAAGACATAATCGAGAGTTTTCTTTCAACCCACCGCAGCTGCCACTGTGTGAACAGCTCCTTAAAAAAATGCGTGTCGGGGCGCATACCAGCGCGCAACAAGTTGGTGGGTGCGAGATTGCAACAGAAGCCAGTGACAAATTTAAGCAGGAGCTGCTTATCAAAACATAAACAACCCGTGACCCACAGATATATCAATGCTAGTCATGGTGTTGTGCAAGACAGCAACAGAAGCGAGCCTTAACAGAAGAAACGTGGTGACACGAATTTCTGGAACGAATAGACGCATATAAACTCCTGTGGAAAGCTGTGGTGTTACTGAGTGATACTTACAAATCCATAACCTCTAGACTTGCCGGTCTGCCTGTCGGTAATGACCACTGCTTCTTCAATCTCACCAAAAACTTCAAAATATTTCCTGAGACTGGAATCCGTGGTGTGGTAGGGAAGACCCCCAACAAAGATCTTCGTATAGGTCGTGTCCTTTTGCGTGGTGTGCATCGTTAGTGCAAAAAAATACAATAAATAGAAACTATAAAAAAATATAGTAGTAGTGCAATGTCTCCTTATGGATAATACTTTGGATGACTAGAGAGATAGAGAAAGAGAGAGAGAGAGAAAGTGAGAGATCAGTTGGCTCTAAAGTTTTTCAGAGGAGAAAAGAAGACAAAAGAAGCCTGGAGGTAGATTTAAGTTCGACAGTAAGAGGGTAGAAATATGGAGCGGATTGTCCCAAAGATACCAGCAGGTGTTTCCAGCTCTTCTTGGTAACTCTGCCGTCTAACTAAATAGGTTTGGGACCCATTCCTAAATGCGTTGCCTCTAACTCCACCCACTTTTTAGTTCCTCCCACCAGCGTGCACAAACAGCTGGGAAGTGCGGCTCAGTGTGAAACATTGGAGCTCCTTCACCACAAAGATCCGCGTTTAATGAACCATCAGGGCCCAACAAAAACCGATTCTACTGATGATTAGTGATGTGCGATACCACTGATTTCCTTTCCGATCCGATACCAAGCAAAATTCAGGGTGGTATCAGCGATACTGATCCGATACCGATACTCTGTACAAAAACTTAATGTTTCATTGCATTTCATAATACAATATATAATTGTATTATGTAATTGTAATAATAACATAACCACATTGCTTCATAATGATTAGAGGACATCAGACAACTTGTTTTTATTGCTTAATAATGCAGAATAATCATATATAGAAATAAAAAAAAACTGATGTTGTGCGCTATTTGAGCATGTTGCCTGCCTGCAGCAAAGGACTCTGCGAGAGACGTCGGTCTCGCCCTAGCAGCACCTGTCCCTGTCCTCCTCTTCTGTTCGCCTCAACATAAGCTTATCATATTCTGTGATGTGATTTACTCAGAGGTGTTTGACGAGGTCAGTGGTGTTGCCACAACAACGTGTCCACACAGGACTCTGTTTGCGCTCAGCCATTGTTGTGAGTGTGAATGCCAGGGGCTGCGACACATTTATACAGCCGTATTCCGCATATGACTATGAAAGGCGTAAGAGGAAGTAGTTCCTTCCGAATTAGACGATCCGAATTGTATAGTTTCTTTCCACTGCGTTCATTTTAATGGAAAAACTACAAATTTACCCCAGAGTACTAAAATATCGATATTATAATATGAGAATCGATTCTAGAACATAAATTGCTGGTATCGGAAGAATCGATATTTCAGTATCGATCCGCACACCACTACTGATGATACGTTTGGCACAAAAAGTACCTGTGACTCAGGAACAGCTCAAGTGAAAAATAATTTGGATGTTTGGGGGTTTTTTTTTCACCCTCCACAGTGTTTTAGTTCTCAGTTGAACTAATGTCAACTAATATGTGAGCTGAACTGATTAATTAGGAAGTGATCTCTCAGAAAAATAAAGTTATTTTAAGTACTTTGGACTCACAATGAACAAATAGCACTAACTTTAAACTCAAGTAAACCATACTCACTTTCTACTGGCAATCTTTTAGTTTTGACAGTTTATTGCAAATACAGTTTTAGATATTTTACATTTATAGAATAAACTTTATTTATTTATTCACAATTAGAATGGGGAAAAAGAGTTCAGCCCTTTTATAAACAGCAGATCAACACCTTTGAAAATCCTCTGAGAAGATTCACAGTCCAGCTTGAATGGCTGGGACTACAGATGTGAATTAGTAGTTTGGTATAATCTGGCGCTTGCATCTTATATTTTTGGTGTATTGCTGTTTAATGGCATGCCTGTCCCTGTTGAATAAATAAGTAAAGAAAGAAGTCATGCACAATACGTGAGGGGTATGTCTTTAGAGAGTCTTAATTGTGTTGCTTCTTGAGTGGAAAGGTCATTAGTCCAGCGTAAAAAGTTTGAAACAGAGGTGTCAGTGTCAGATGAGGCCATACTGCTGCATCTCTCAATATCCTCCCGAACAGCCCAGAAGAGCTAATTCAACTCCGGTAATGTGAGAGTGAACTCTTCTATTAATCATTCATGGTGCCTCACTTCTGTGAGCTGGCCTACATACGTACATCTATCCTACAGTGAGCAGATACATTTACGGTGGGAGCATTACCAAGTGCTGTTCATTCCTATGTGGGAAGCCACTGATGACCAGTCTAAACTTTATGAAACACAGATCAGTAAAGATTACTAATTGCGTTTTTATTCACCTCCAACCAAAATCTGTCTTCTTCCAGCTAAAAGAATGACAAGAGCCAGTGTTGCTGTCACCTCCACCTGCAGGACGTCACATCACAATGAAATGCAACCTGATAAAGCGCCTTTCTGCCGTGTCTCCGTTCACTTGCTGTTTTATTAATGCAGCCACACGCCCTTAAAAGTCAGAATAAAGGGGGATTGATATCAGGTTTCTCAAGCTCAACAATGGGGATCCGGTTAGGTTGCATGCTCTTATTGTCTCTGCAGCATGCTGACTAGTCTGAATCCTCTAACAATATGCCGCCCCCCAATGAAAGCTTCATTTATTCTTTATCACCAGGAACCTTGAACCACTGCAAACATTAAGTCCACTTTGTAAATGCTGTTTCCATATTGGCTGTTTTTAGAGAAATTAAAACTTAAAATATCTGTCAATCATTTGCCAGTCAGGCAAAGGAAAGTTGAAGGTCAAAGGTCAAGGAAACAGCTGAATGGCCACAGCAGTCACACTTAGGTTTCAGCCCTAACCTCTCATTCAAAAATATGTTTTGATGTTCTGGTTTTTTTTGTGGTTAACCTCTAAAGCTTTTACATTTTATGGATTGTAATAAATGACTGATCACACACTTGTTTTTCACACACTCTCTGAACCATAAAAAACGAGAAAATGGGGATTTCCTACTTTGCCTTAAACACATCTTTTTACACCAAGCCCTTCCTCATATGTTGCCAAAAGCACTCATGGCTTGTCTTATAGAAGAGGTGCGCTAATTCTTCTATAAGACAAGCTGCAGCACACATTTAACCCACTGAAACAGTGCCACCTTATGTCCAACAGAACAGCTGCACAGAGTACAACCTTCACAGCAACGTGAGAGGATAACACAGCAATTTCTCTCAGTTATAGTGAAAAAAACAAACAAAGACCAAACAACCAAAAGCACTCACAAAAATCGATTTGGTCTTTTGGTATGAAGTGCATCAATTAATCTTTATTAAAGTGTTCAGTGAGGTAAAATGCGCTGAATTTAATGGAAAACCCTCATGTTCCAATGTGCTTTCATGTTTTTCTTCTGCAAACCTTCACAGCTTCAACATTAAGTTCAATCACACATTAAATATACATTGTACACATTGCTAATACATTTATTTTACAAGCTTAAACAACTCTCAACTGTGCAAAATGAATGTATTTTTGGCTTAGTTTCTCTTCCCGTACCCCCTTGTGCTGATTGATGGCTGATTTGTGCAATAGTTTAAAATACTTCTTCTTTGTCATCTGCATGTTGGAAGCTAGAATCACACTCCAGCTCCCCTGAGGCTGTGAACTCTTGCACCTGGGTCATCTCTTCTTCTTCTTCCTTTTCTCTACGCTCAACTTCCCTCTCTGCACCCTCCCCTCGGTGATCTCCTCCCTCCTCTCTCCTTTCTCTCTTCCCTGCCTTCTTCGCCTCTTCCTCGCACTCCCTTTTGCCATCTCCATCCTCTCTCACCCACTCTCCTCCCTCTGCAGCCTCACGCATCACCTGGCTGGGATGTGGTGCCGCTAGCGTCTCCACAGGGGTGATGGGCGTGTCTTTGTCTTTCTCGGTGCTGGAGATGATGGCGGGGACACGGACACGTGCAGACTTGCTCCTTAAACGCATCTTGAGTTTATCTTCTTTTAACTGAAAGAGAGTGGAGAGTGCAAGATTTTTTTTTTAAGAAAACTCTGGTAAAAAACAAAACAAACCAAAAGACATGACAGAGCTGAGGTGTTGGGGAAAATGGTCATGCAGACACGGCACCTTGCGTCTCTCTTCAGCCAGCCGAATCTTCTCTTCAAACTCTTCTCTGGTGTGTAGCTTCTGAGCTTTCTTCACCTTCAGAGACTCCAGTCTGGCAGGAGGCCTGCGCCAGGCACCTTCATTGTCGTCCAGCTGATGCATACAAACACAGAAAATGAACTTTTTAGACAGGCAACCTGTCTGTACCACGTCTCACGCCCTATGGCAGACGGGATAAGCTCCAGCCCCCAACCCCCCACACTCGTGACCCTGAATTTAATATGCAGAATGGAATGGATGGATAGTTTAGCTTATGAGTATGAGTTTATGGGCAAAGATGGAATCAGGCAGCGCATTTTGTGCTTGGTTCATGGTGTTCTTCCTTATTTTCTTTTTCTTTAGTAAAAGTTTGTTGAACCGCAGCATTATTATGGATGCCACAGATTCAGGGACAGTAGCAGTCAGGCTATGGAAAAAGTTTTTATTTCCCTTTGTCAGATGTGTTGAGAAAAAAAAGCATCTTTTAGAATATGTACCCTGTTTATATCACTGTGCTCGTCTTTCTACTAAAAGTAAAGCTCCATTTGCAGTAAAGCTGTCAGATAACTGGCCTGTAAGGTCGTACCATGCTGTGCACACCAGGTACTCACCATGATGCTGTAAGCTTCTCCAACCCTGCTGCTCTTTTCTCTGTGCTGTTCCTTTGGGATGATGCCCTGATTCAGCAGTTCTTCCAGGATCTTGTGGGACTTCTGGCGTTCAGTTATTTCATTATCCCACAGAAGTACGTCTGGAAAAACAAACCAACAAAAAAACAAGAAATAAACAAACACATATTATACACTCAAGGACATCTTACAAGCAAATAAATAACAAAATCACAGTATAGATAAAATAACAGTTGAAGACATCATCGGAAAAAAAAGTCAATACATCACAGAATTAAAATAAAACGGAATAGGCAAGCTTAAACAGATGTGTTTTAACAGTGGTTATAGAGAGAGGGAGAGAATCAGTGTTCCGAATGTGATTTGGGAGCGAGTTCCAAAGATGAGGAGCCACTCGGTTGCCAGCTCTAACGCCCATGGTCGTCAGGAGTGCAGAAGGTATAATGAGAATGACAGAGGATGAGGAGCTCAGAGAACAGGATGGAGTGGTGATGTGCAAAAGATCATGGAGACCTGGAGGTGAGAGATGGAGAGATAGAGAGACTTAAAGGGCTTAAAGGACCAGGGCTGTCTGTACTGTGAAGGTGCTGAAAACCAGATTCAATTTGCTCATAGAGATGACTGTTAGTAAGGTGACAGTAAGGTGATGGGTCTACACTCGATTTCTTAAGAGTTGGAATTATCAC